GGGCATTTGTGGATCAAGATAAGTTTACTTACTTTTGCAGGTTGTGCAGTACCAGGCGTTGAGGTGAGTCCCCCTATCCGTGGGATCCTCGCACAACTCGCAGCGGCACACGAAGCCCAAGAAAGCGTTTTTAAGCCAGCGCTCGGACCGGGTGGGCAATAGTTTCTCGTAGTCGTAGTTAATAGTCACGTGCTCGCCGGCAGCGATGTCCCTCGCGGCAATCAGGAGTACTTCCTCTGAATCACCGTCAGGAAGAACGCGTGCATTGGGCAGACACGAATGCTCCAGCAGAGAGAGACCCGAGTACAAGGCAGCTCCGCTGTACTGAGGCGTAAAAAATGGGTTACGTACATTCTTCTGCGGAGGAGTCCTACTCTAAAGTGTGTACATTCTAATGAATCATTCGCGCACACAGTTCAAAACTGGGAGCTCGTCAGCTTTTATTTTAGCAGATGATACCTTGAAACACTTTATACTTAACATTAAAATATATTAGTAATATCAAGGTGTCAGCAGCTTTAACTCTCCATAGCAGAAGAGAGGTAAAAGAGAATCAAGCGGAGACCAGGAAAACAATTTCTTTGGCGCTGGCGGGACCGTGTACGAGTGAGTGTCGCGCCAGGCCCCTCCCCTTACCCTCCAACCCTGCCTAACAATACCTAGGCTCCCGCGCTCCCGCGGCTTCGCTTCCCCTCCCTCCCCGCTGTCCCCTCTCTCCGCAAGTAAGACGTTAAAAAAATTATGCAAAACCACTAGAAATAAAAACCATACTACGAATATTAAAGCGCAGGTATACTATGGTATTAAATGGGTATCATCTGCTTTCAAGATAGATTCTTGATTTAGATTTTTTTAAATATAGAACCCATTAAATTAAAATAATGTCAACCACTTCCCAAATTTCCAGAAGGAAAGAAAGTAAGTGCTTGTAAAGCGACCAGTGCAATGCCGAAACTTTTGAGCATTAAGACCCCAATTTCGGAATCATGATATTATAAACCGGCTAGTGGCTAAGAGAGCAAGCTAATTAATCGGCTTACAATGTAATCACTGCGGCCTCCGTTTAGATTCAAATACTGAGCCCGAGTTGTAACTGTACCTTTTCTTTCTTAAAGACAAAGCTGTTTATAAGACAAGCCCCGCAGGCTCTTTCCAACCCTTTCCGGGTCTCAGACCCTTTGCACGCCAACAAACTTAATGCCACATCTGCAGGTACTGAGACCGATGTCAAAAAGTTTTCGTAAGCACTTTTCAGCTTCGCAGCGTCGACCTGGAGGACAGATTTAAGGTGTTCCATTAAAAAAAAACTTGCAAAGCATCAAACTCACCATCTGCTGTGCCACGCGTCGGGACATTACTCTGCCAGCACTGCGCAAGGTTTGCACCCAGAAAATCGTTTCCTTGAACTTGAAACTAGGGAATTTCCTTGGAATTAGCCATTAAATCGACGGAATTGATCCAAAATAAACATAACGATTTTTAGACGATCCAGTCTATACCAGAGGGTTTGGCGCGCGGGGGGAGCAGTGCGTTAGTTGATCGTCCTAACTTCCCCCTCCCCCTGCCGGCCAACAATCACTACTGTGCGCCAGGCCACGCCCCATCCTGGCGCTCCCATCCCCACAAACAATTTACACTCAACACTCCTCCAAGCTTGGCCTAAAGTGCCCAAAGGTGGCCCAGGCCAGGGCGCAGGGCCGCCGAGGCCTCGACTCCAACGACGAACACCTCCGGTTGCTCGATCTAGCGCTCGTCCAAAGCGAGAGCGATCACCACGGCACCGCTCACTCGCCAAACAACTGCCTGGTATCACAAGAGAACTCATAATTGTTCGTCCCCGATTTTGTGCCGCCTTGAGGTTTTGTAGGGTCAGCGTCAGCAAAGACGGACGACAACAACGCACAAGACAGTGAATCTCAGAACAAAGAGTCGTTAGTCTTAGAACGCAGTAACGTATTTAATTACGAACAATAATATTGTACTAGATTTTCTTTTATTCGGATCGTCAATTTGTTAACATGAAGTGTTAACGTTTTTTTTTTTTTCATTTCTTGAAGGAAAAATTTTCCTTTATTTGAAGAAAAGCCTTTAATTTAACAACATTTTTCGTTAAACCAAAAAAATTCTTTGGAACAAGAGCAAAATTTCCTTACGTTTTTTCAATGCAACGATTTTCTGGGCGTGGGCCCAGCACAGCTGTTTTCTTAATAATCCATCGGAAATCCTTGCACCGCCTTGCGTTTGTTTGCCTCTGGACACGCTCCAGCGTGAGTTCCCAATTAAAGCAGCTGTGTCGCGCGGCGACGGTGCTGAAAGACACCTGCTTGGTGATCCCCTTCTCTTACCGTTCCATTTTCAGATGATGGCATCGCTATCTCATGCTGCAGATTTAGGAGACGGGGCCCGTGTTCCTGCTCAAACGCCTTCCAAATCCTAACCGCGACGAGTCCATGCAGCTCCGCGAATGGATCGAGATGAGGGAATAAATCTGTAGGTGTACAGTAAGTATCACTAGAAATACGCAACACTGGTGTGCGTCCTATCTTGTGTACCAAAAACTAAACAAAGTGACTGAGCCCCTCGGGATTTTTTTAATAGGCAGGTCTCAATAATATAAGACTGTCCACAAAATTTGGTAACTCTAGGTCGCTTCCTGAATTAAAAAAAAAATAATCAAAAAAATTACTTCTTTTTTTTTTATCATTTTTTAAAAATTCAGGATACGACCTAAAGTTATAAAATTTTGTGGACAGTCTTATAATATCGAGACCTACCTTTTAAGATAGCCGCATCCATCCTAAGACCTGTAGGAAAGAGCATATCACCAAACTTGAGGGTTGCTTCTCTCATAAATCTCCTTGGTGAATGTTCTAAAGGTTTTAAAGCAGCGCATTCGATGTTGTGGCGATCAAGATTGGGGCAGCTACGTTTGCAAAGGGGTGCCCCGCAATGGCCGCATGGGACAGTTTCATTGACCTTCAAACAGCAGGCGACGCACACCTGGAATAAACCACAAAACATTACGAAAGGAAGTGTTCAACCGAGGAGTTGCACATTCGCAAGTGCACACCTACCGAGTTGAACACTTGCAAGTGTACAACTACGGACTTGCACACTTGCAAGTATTCAACTTGCAGCAGTGGCACACTTTCAAGTGTTGAGCAGTTAAACACTTAGTTTATCAGTGTAAGAATGCACAAAAAATGGTGACGAACAGAACGCTCAAGACGGGTCGGGTCACCAGCTTGGCACATCCACTTCAAGCCAGGCGCGTTTTTTTTTAAAGGGGGGGGGGGGGAGCAGTGGCAGTCCCCATTTGGACTTACCTCCTCTGGTTCAAGCGGATTCGCTGTGGCTCTAGGTGCTCTAGGGAAGACGACCAGCGGCAGCTCCCTCATGAGGACAGTGCGCATCGGGATGTCCTTAACGGCCACGATGTGTCGGCCTACACGCTCGTCGGAACGTACCTGCAAGAGGGTTGCCAAAGTATGGTCTACTTTAACACCGCGGTTTCCAATTCAAACCGAGTTCAGATAATAACGCACCTCGACGCACCCGCAGGTCGTCTTGTGCACTTTCCAATGCTGTTTCTGGTGCTCCTTGCCACAGTAGAAGGCGACCCGGCAGCGCGCGCATGCAGTACCAGAATGGCCACAGACCACACACGGGCCTCGGCGAGGACCTGCAGAAAGTTGGAGGGGATTCTATACACGCAAAAAGGTGTCAGGCTTGATTTTCGAACAGTTTCAAACAGCTATCGCCCCCCCCCCCGCAGAACTTGTGTCCGCACTGTGAACACAAAAGTGCCTTGGCACCTGTCAGCAAAGCACGCACATGAAAGTGAGTGCATGTCAGGTCGACTGTTGGCAACAGTGGACCTGTCACGCCACGTCAGGTCGACAGCTGGTTGTGCCTGCGAGGCAAATAGCTGGTTAAATTTAAAAGCCTCTTACCATACGTAAAATGATTGTCCATTGTGGAGCCCTTACAAATCTGAAACAAGGAAAAGGTAAAATAAAAATAAATGGCGAACACCCTCCCGCCTGTCCACGTTGTTTACGGATAGACCCTTGTGCGCACGCGCACGCGTTTTCAAATACTCGTGCGAATAGTAATGTAAATTTAAATCGTTAAGCCCGCGAATATATTTCTGCTCGAGGCGACAAGTCAGACCGGGGGGGGGGGGGTGGCCGACGGGTCTCCCATTTCCAAAATAAGTGTACAACGAGTTGTCGCAAGTTAGGGTCGAGTAGGAATCAATTTTTGAGTTTTGCGCAGTTTCCCCAAATTTTCGCGAGCTATCGCGAGTTTGGCGCGAGTTCGACGCGAGTTGGGCGTGGGCAAGTGTCACGAGTTGCCTAGCGCAGGACCCCTCGGGGGTGGCTCGTGGGACGATGTTTACCAGTTGGTGTGGTACTTTTGTGCTCATATGACTCGATATGACTACTTACGCCTTGTCCTTGTCCTATTGCGACTTCAAATTCTCCGCGTGTGAACAACAGGGATCATCCAGAGTCTTTCGCGGATAAGAAATCGCAAAAGTCACCCTCCCTAAGCAAGCTCTCATAGCGCCTGATGGGTAGGCAATATCTTGCCTACAGCACATGCGTGTACCGCGGTGTGGCCTACCCCGAGTCTCGCAGGCGCCGAGCTTTAGTTATTTGCGAATCAAGCTGAGGAAAGCAGACGCACTTTCTGGATGATCCCAGACACAGTGTTGACCGTCATCGAGACATCCTTGCTGGATCGACCGTTGCTGGTCCACAGACTCGGTCCGGGCCTGGCCACGCGCGCTGAGGGTGCCGACGGACATTTGGCTCGGGTGAGGTGGTGAACAATGAGTTCCATAGCCGGGCGCGACGCGACTCCGAGCTCAAAGTTTACAGCTCCAGCATCTGGCAACCGTTTGATGCCGCTCGTTTTACTGACCACACTTTCACTCGAATTCGAACCTCTAAAACGCCCGAGTGGAAAGAAATTAACTCTAAGTGAACTTAACAGCATACTTGATGAAAGTTAACTTCCAAGTGTTAACTACGTAGAAATTCAGCCTGCTTGAGCGCCTAATCCGAAATTTGTAGTAATCTCTGAATTATGTAACATTTTTACCAGGTGGCTCTTTCACCCCGCGTCCTTCTGTAGTGATACACTGGTGGCTGACAGGACGGCCGGGGGGGGGGGGCAATATCACCACAGGTCACGATGGAGTGAGCACACACATCGGGGGAGGGCGTCACGGCCGCGAGGGCCGCGACCGCAACCTGCGCCCTCCGTCCTCGTGGACGTGGACGGACACATACCCCCCACCCCCTCCTACCGGCCGGCCCGCCAGGGGCTCTCCGGCCTCTCTGAGCGCTCCGCACGGGTAAATGTGTATCGTGATTTCTCGAATATGCGCCACCCAATAATTTTGAAACTTGGCATGTGGGCAGTGAAAGGACCAGTCTCAGCTACAGTCTTGTCAAATCCGTCCCAAAAATGCACCGGTATCCTCGACAGCAATGCTAGAGTAGCCCACAGCAGATTTTTAACCCGGTCGAATTTCGGTGAAAGGACGACGTGACGCTGTAGTCACGCCCTTTCTTTGTCACCTATTAAAATCTGAAGTCGATATCTTGAACGATGCGACCGCTATCGTTAAAACGCCGAACATCTACACGTCATATTCTCGCCGAGGACCGACCGAGGACGGCTCCTCCGGTGGGGTCGACGTGCCAATAGGGTATTTCAATGGAGCGCTGCCCGGAACTAAGAAGAACAAAACCGGATACAGAGAGCGGTGGTGGGGGCGGGCGCGCGGAGGAGCGGAGGG